CTCCTACACGAGCACGCTATATTTACAAAGCACGCTACATAGCTACTTATTATCCATTATGTATGTATGTACATACACATGTATGTATGTAATTGTTTTCGAAACACGCTATCGAGCTCCAATGAGTTGTCTATCACACGCGGCATTGGGGCAAGAAATCCTTCACGATGGTAGTAGGGATAATCTATCATTGGTGAGAGTGAGAGCCATGCTCTTTCTGATACCGTCGTGCGTGAGGGATTTCTTGCCCCAACGCTGGTCACGCCGTGACGTGAGCCGACAATCGATCGATCGTCAGGAGTTGTCGAAACATTAAGTTCGGCCGGTATTTTCAAGCTAACCTCATGGAGTGAGCGAATTCGCCTGGTTGAACCAATGAATTTTCGTGATCGGAGATAATCGTATAAAAGATAGTGTAAAGTAAAAGTAAAAACCCGGCCGATTATATCTTATAACGTGAGAACATGAACGGAAATCAATCGGTTGATTCGAATGGCGAGAAAGAACGACAGGTAGCCGAAAAATTCTTGAGCAAGTTTAATTTGGCGGTAGAGGATGGTAGCCTGAGTTTCGGGAGATTTCGGTCGATATGCGAAGAACTTTTCCAGCCGGACGAGATTCAACGGGAGGAGTGGAGAATTCAAGATATGTTCGGTTTATTTGACCAAGATAAGGACGGTGTTTTAAAGGCGCAAGAATGGCGAAGGTAAGTACTATTGAACAATCGATCTATTGTTCGTTGTTCGTATCACGTAACCAAACCAATAATGTAATTGTTTAACTGAATCACCGGACGCGAGTACGTAACGATACTCTGATTATTCGATTGATTGCTGTTTGTACATACATTAACACAGGATATGTATGTGTAAATACATACCTGCAAAATTACCTGTAAATATACCTGTTGTTTATTTCGATTATATACGATGTAAGGTGGAAGGAGGAAATCAAAGAAATCTAGGAGAAACCCAATAAAGTTCTTCTTTCTTATTCAATATCTGGATGAACTTATGATTTTATAAACGCATGACAAAATATACAATACTAATCAAATTTTTACTATATGATTTGTTTCTCTAAGCTGTTTATATAAATAGTATTTTATTACGTCAGATTTTACTATCGTACTGAAAAATCTATATTATCGTAAGGTACGATATTATGATGAAGAACTGCGGACGGAGTATCTTTTCTTCGAAATCGTGTGATACAAGTTATTTCCTCGTTCGTAACATGCAGTAACTTTGAACTTCTTATTTTATAATTAACAGATTTTGTGATTGGTTACGGGTAACTCTCAACCCTGTCAATGCTCTACTTGTCGTAGACGTGCAGAACGATTTTATCGATGGTTCTTTAGCTCTTCGTAAATGCGAGTACAAGCAGGACGGAGCCGAAGTGATACAGCCTTTCAATTATTTGATAAAAAACGGGCGCTTTGATAACGTTATTTATTCGTTAGATTGGCATCCGGCAGATCATATTAGCTTTTACGAAAATTTGCATTTACGGGAATTACATCCAGATTCAAAGGTACGTAGAGTAAAGTAGCAATTGAGATACGAAGCTTAGAGAAAAGAGTTAGCATGCACTACAAACATTAGCATATGCCTCGGTAAGAGAGAAATCTGAGAAACACGTTATCTATTTCAACATCTCTTGTACTTAACATGAACACCTTTTGTGCTCAAAGAATGTTCGCAACGCTGCGACACGTGCGCCCGTCGTTTAGCTTGTTTTGGAATTCGAGGATATTTATGGCATAGCTATATTTGTCGTTTCATTCACAATGAGAGTGCCCTTTACGTCTTCCAGATTCTATCGGTCTTTTGAAATGAGAGAGTTGACCGTATGATCAGGGATGGTATACGAAGTCCTTCACGACGATAGTACCATATGGTGGGAGTGAGAAAGAGCATGGCTTTCTCCCGTGAGGGATTTCGTATACCGTCTCTGCACACAATTGAAGAGGAAACTTGTTTCTCCAAGGTTGCGCTTTTTTTTTGAGATATTGCAGGCACAGTTTCCACCGTCCACATGGCGTTCTCCTTTCTTTGTTTTTTTTCTTTTCGCACATGTACCCAGACTTCGGCGGGAAAACACGCGGCCGTCTATTTCTGGTTTAAAGAGGAAAAGTTTGTTTTTAGATAATTACATAAATGATAAGCCAGTGTTTAAGATAACACAGGTTTAGGATACATACCCTGCATCTGCATTTAAAGAAATAGAATTGATTGCATTTACTATGGTTAATATAATAAATTAGAAAATAGAAAAAATAAAGTTACATATTATACAGGTTGTCGCTGTAACACTGAACACTCGTGTATTTTCTATCGTACATTGAATGGTATTTCATATTGATTTACCTGCTGTAACATTTCAGTATACTATGCGCTATTATCGTAAAGAATTCTGTTTATGAAAAAAAAGGACTTTCTGCTTATATTCGTCGAAAAGTTTGCGTTTGTCCTTCAGTTAGCCAATTCTATCTTCTATCTGAAAGGAGCCAAATGTTCCTCTGGCCATAAAACAGCGCTCATCTATAGAAACTTATTTTACGCGTCTGCACTCTCTCACGATCAATAGAACACGCAGGCAACGTGTTTTCAGTCACTTTCATCTGCTTGCAATAAATTTTGGGGATGCGTGCCGTACTGAATGGCGACCTGGCTTGACTTTACTTTCATTTATGGTGTTCGGCGTTATAAATCTGTCTCCGAAAATAGGCAAACGGTCTTAATGTACACAGGTAACAAAAGCAAATGCCAAGCCGTTCGACAAAGTGATTTTCGCCGATCCTCATTTGGAGCAAATACTTTGGCCGAAGCATTGCGTGATGAACACGTGGGGAGCTGAATTGCACAAAGATCTCGTGATCGCGGTAGATTCCAAGCAGGTTACATAATTTTCTATAGACGATTACAATTCCAATTAAAGCCTATAAGTCTTAAATCATGAAACTATTAATAAAAATACTTATTTCCTTTACACGTACACTTATCAATATTTTATCTCAAGCTAAGCTAACATCTAGATATTTTTTACGGATATAAGTATATGTATAGTTTATATTTCTTGGCAGTAAACTTTGGCAAGGATTCAGAAATATAACTTTGTATTATTGCGATTTCGGAACTTATAGGATTAATTGTGTACATGATGTAAAAAGTATTTTAGAAAATAAGGTTCCTAATGTCCATTCAGGTACTTAAGGGTACGGACCCGACAATCGATGCTTATTCGGCGTTTTGCGATAATAGCTCGAAGGGTTACACAGAGTTGCAGGCAATTCTACAGAAATTAACCGTGACCCATCTGTACGTAGGCGGTCTCGCTTACGATGTCTGCGTGAGGGCAACATGTTTAGACGGACTGCGATTAGGCTATACTTTGGCTGTTATCGACGACTGCTGCCGAGGTATAGACGCAAATAACACCAAGGCCACTAAAAAACATTCTATCGTACATTGAATGGTATTTCATATTGATTTACCTGCTGTAACATTTCAGTATACTATGCGCTATTATCGTAAAGAATTCTGTTTATGAAAAAAAAGGACTTTCTGCTTATATTCGTCGAAAAGTTTGCGTTTGTCCTTCAGTTAGCCAATTCTATCTGAAAGGAGCCAAATGTTCCTCTGGCCATAAAACAGCGCTCATCTATAGAAACTTATTTTACGCGTCTGCACTCTCTCACGATCAATAGAACACGCAGGCAACGTGTTTTCAGTCACTTTCATCTGCTTGCAATAAATTTTGGGGATGCGTGCCGTACTGAATGGCGACCTGGCTTGACTTTACTTTCATTTATGGTGTTCGGCGTTATAAATCTGTCTCCGAAAATAGGCAAACGGTCTTAATGTACACAGGTAACAAAAGCAAATGCCAAGCCGTTCGACAAAGTGATTTTCGCCGATCCTCATTTGGAGCAAATACTTTGGCCGAAGCATTGCGTGATGAACACGTGGGGAGCTGAATTGCACAAAGATCTCGTGATCGCGGTAGATTCCAAGCAGGTTACATAATTTTCTATAGACGATTACAATTCCAATTAAAGCCTATAAGTCTTAAATCATGAAACTATTAATAAAAATACTTATTTCCTTTACACGTACACTTATCAATATTTTATCTCAAGCTAAGCTAACATCTAGATATTTTTTACGGATATAAGTATATGTATAGTTTATATTTCTTGGCAGTAAACTTTGGCAAGGATTCAGAAATATAACTTTGTATTATTGCGATTTCGGAACTTATAGGATTAATTGTGTACATGATGTAAAAAGTATTTTAGAAAATAAGGTTCCTAATGTCCATTCAGGTACTTAAGGGTACGGACCCGACAATCGATGCTTATTCGGCGTTTTGCGATAATAGCTCGAAGGGTTACACAGAGTTGCAGGCAATTCTACAGAAATTAACCGTGACCCATCTGTACGTAGGCGGTCTCGCTTACGATGTCTGCGTGAGGGCAACATGTTTAGACGGACTGCGATTAGGCTATACTTTGGCTGTTATCGACGACTGCTGCCGAGGTATAGACGCAAATAACACCAAGGCCACTAAAAAACTAATTGCAGAGAAAGGGGGTTTAATTACTAACAGCCAACACGTTCTCGCGATAGTGAATGAAGGTAAACGAAGTCTCGTTATGAGTCATCAATCTGCGAGAGTGATTGCTTTAAACGATCAGAATTTTTCACAATCAACCCCAAATGAAAAAATAAAAAAAAATGCTCTTCCTTGTACTTGTCCTAACAGTGTCCCTGAATAACTCGAAATATCATGAGACGGTCAATTCATATCAGCTTTACGTAAACTATAAAAATCATAGACTTAGATTAGTATATTGTTGATTTTTATTCGAACTTTTGTTTGTTACTTCTGATTGAGGATCAAATAGATCGGCTTGGGAGGTAGTAAATATTTTACGGCATTGGTGTGTAGTCTTTACACTTATTAAATACCTAATTTTGCTATATAAATTTGCAGTCGACACATAAGAGAATGGACCGAACGTCGAACCGCTTCCATTCAGTTTTTACCTCTTCCATCAATCAGTCTCCCAACCGGCGCTCGGTCTATTCTCATATGTCTATGATAAAAATTTGTTTAATTGTGATGCACTTCAGTTAGCTTTAAAGAGATATTTATATTTTCATAATTGAATTTTGCATTTTTTTAAAGTATACACACATATATCGTCGAACATATCAAATGCAAAAATTTATTAAATTAAAGAATTTATTAATTGAATTGAGAAAATTAACAGAATTGAAAAAAGTTTAGTGAGTCAGTTATACTGAATCAGTAATAATGATCGTCTTATATGTATAATTGTCGTATAATATTCGAAAAACAAAAGACAAAAACGAAACTAGTACTTAACTGCGTATAAAGATTAAATAGTATTAAGTAAGACAATCTCGACTGAATATATGTATACGAACCACACTTTACAGTATTCTTTTTTTGGATCAAAGAGAAAATATATTAATACATATTAAGGAGAAAGAACACATTAGAGAATATAAAATACTTTTCTGTAGTATTGCAAACGCTTTGTATTATTCAAACGAAATAAATATACATGAAATAAATAGCATGATTAAGAGTTACTGTACATCGATCATTAAATTTAATTTTATCCACTTTTTATCGTTTTCGCAGTTCTTTCAATTTTGTTCGCCGATTCGTCATCTGTTGTTAATTTGCAAGCATATCTATGCTTCGCACCGCAATCATCGCTTTGATAAGAATACAGTCTGGACGTTGAATTGTAGAATAGTTTCAAGCACCTGGAGATGTAAAATAATTCAATTTTAATTCTAATTAAATTCTAATTAGTTCATTAATTCGAAGATATTTTGAAATTTGTATCTCACCTGCCATCGCCAGGAATAGTCTGTTTGGTATTTTGGAAGACTGGTTTGGCGCTGCTCGCCCAAATCCAAAGAAGGCCCGGATTCAGGCCGCCCGTCCAAAACGTTTTACCCTTCAATTTCGAGTTCGTTTGCAAACTAGCATACACATCGCGTTTCTCATCATCCGTATCGAATTCCAACAATTGGCCACCCATCCCGCGACAGAGGCTGGCCGACGATTTCCAATCAAAATCACGATTACTGAAGTGGTAGCAATTCTGACCGATTTTTGTATAGTTCGAAGGACAAGATTCTATGAAAAACAATAACAAAAAAATTTTGATGATAAAAACGCAACGAAATAAGTTAAAATATTACCTTTCTTATCTACGTTTCCGGAAATAACGTAATAGAGAAGCTCCTCTGCTCTTCTGAGACGGTTTTCTAAGAAGTCTACTCTGTAAACGAGCTTCTCTATCGCCCCTGTAATATATAATTAAATAAAATAGCAATTTACTTGAGAATATAATTATACAATTATTACTATAATTAAACTGCGGACTTTTATGCAAAATAAAACTGTTATGGTATCGATTTAAATAAATAGCAGTATTTATTAATTCTAATCTTATCAGCCAAAATGTAGAACTTAACTTACACCTTGAATATACTTAATTATTTATGCGCCTACACCTTCACACACTGACGATTCATTTTACACTTCATTGTAGACAGAATAAATTAAACATGCATTCTTTATATTTCCTGCACTAGTTTTTCTATAAATGCATAAAATGGACAGTTTAATTATAATAATCTATTTAAGGCGTATCAGATTACCAAGGAGATACAAATCGGTTTCGGAAACTTCTCGTTTACTTGTTGCTTTGCTCGTTACTACGAGACTCTTATCTCCGAACTTCATCACCTTTGACATTCTCCCTATTCTGGAATCGGAAACAATCCAATCTTCCAAAATTTCGCTCCATGGTCCTGGCGATTCAATTATCGAGACGTTAGAAGAATTTATAGCAGACACCGCGTAATCACCTAGTAGAAGACAAGTAATTTAATTACAATCTGTTTTTCTTGTGAGAAGGATTTAGTTATTTATGTGTACCTGGAATTCCAATGCAAATAAATAAAACCGAGAGGTGAACAGATATCTTAAGCTTCATGGTAAACCTGAAAGTAGGGAACGGATTAAGAAAAACCGACTTTCCTTTAAGAAAGTGGGTGGTGAGATTGGTGCGTCATGCAAATCACTTAGTCAGCGTATTAATGTTTCTTAATTAATATTTAACCGTATTTGTTTTATCACTATTTTTTTCATATACGTATTCCATAAAACAAAGTTTTCTATAGTTATTTACTAATACTTCGTAGCAATTAAAATAGAATTAGAGAACATTGGGAAAATCACATGAGTCTTAATTAATATTTAATCGCACGTATTTAAACAGTAAGGATTTTTGTATACGAGTTCTCAGTGAAATAATGTTTTTTAATGTTTCTTTTTCACTATTATTTTGTATTAATTAAAACGTCAGAGAATATTGAAGAAATTAGATAAAAAAATTCACTCACTTACATAATATTCGTGAAACAGGGATGTTCTCTTAGCTGTTATCATTCCAATCCTGTTTGACCGTGGTTTCACCTGTTCGATCCGCTTCCGTTCACGGTCAATGTAAAACTATCTGAGACCTACGGCAGGCTCTTGCGGGTCACTTTCTCTCTCCTCCTCGAAAAACTGTTTGTGAGTCACTTTCTTCGTTGGAGCCAACCACGTGTTTAATCAATGATTCTTATAAAATATTTGCCTATCGTCGAAACGATGAATTGAAAAAATTCTAAGAGATCAGCTGTGCTTTTAAAAACTTCGTGATTAGACTGCAGATTTTATTTTATAAGAAAGTTGAATTTGCAAAGAATAAAAACATTGCCTGTAATGTAAAAATATAGAATGTAAAAAAAATATCAAAAACAGAGTAAACTTTGCGATACTTCAATGATAAGGGAATCTCATATGCAAATCACATTATTTAAACTGACATAAAATAAGATTAGACTGCAGATTTTATTTTATAAGAAAGTTGAATTTGCAAAGAATAAAAACATTGCCTGTAATGTAAAAATATAGAATGTAAAAAAAATATCAAAAACAGAGTAAACTTTGCGATACTTCAATGATAAGGGAATCTCATATGCAAATCACATTATTTAAACTGACATAAAATATTTTATTTTGCATAAAAATGCGCAGTTTAGTGATTATGACATTTTTCTTCGTCCTGGAATGACATTACAACCGATTTATCTATAGAAAGTGAGTGGTTTGAAAATTCTTTTGTTTTAATATATTAAAAGCAGAATCGTGCGACGTGGGTTTTCCCGAGGACCGTCCCACTGACACGGTGACACAGAACTTCATCTTCTCTTTTGGAACGCGAATGAAACAGCCATAAACAGAAAACGAATTTATATTCTCGTTCAACACACATCATCTATATTATGTAGATATACAATATCAGGCTCGTTTTGTATAGTATGTACATTTTATTTAAATTCATTCAGCATTTGGAAATAGTACATATAACAATTGATTTACTGGGAGAACTATTTATTGAAGAAAATCATCAACGCAGTTCGATAAAGCTTAGAGATTAATTGGAACCATTCTGTGTTTCAGTCTTTCGAAGTTAAAAATACACGGTGAGATTAAGTCGCTCGTTTCCGCTCTGACCATTCCTGGACCTCGTTTCCGCCGCAACTTCCACGCTATCCACCGTCTAAAAATAGATTTACGTATTTAATGAATAATAAAACTATCTGTCCTACATGGATTAAGAAAAATAAGATAGTTTACCCTGTCATCGTCGTCCCATGATAATTTTTTGACTCTCTGCGAGAGGGAACAAACGGGCCACGCAGGTACCAAAGAATCCGGAAGATCAACGGAGTAATTGGAAGATTCGCGGGATCCGACGTTCATGTTAGTTTTCGCGCTCAAATCGTTCATATTCTGGACGAGACCGCCGATGTTGGGTATGTTGCAGGTCGCTGATAAATTCGGAGGGTTCGGAGGAGCGGGAGCTACTTTGTGTCTCGCGTGAGCAGGCCTCTGCTTCGCCGATGTTGCGTCTAATATAAATATTAATTTCATTTGAAGTCTATTACTTAAAATTATTTAAGTAGCTTAAATGGAAGTAATTCGAATTAACGACTGAATTTTAATTCAAGCAATTAAAAAAATCTGCAACCCTGAAAGGAAGAATTTACGAATAGTATATTTTCTTACTTTTAATCGTGGCACTATAGTTCCTCGCTCCGAAGACGGGATTCGCGACATCGTTGCTGTTCATATTCCTTTCTTGGAATTGAGCATTGTTACTGTCGTCGACGATTTCTTGATCAACGCGATCCTCTTCCTCCTGATCGTCTTCAGCCTCGACTTCGTCGTTCTCGTCAATACTAAGAACACCTTCGGTTCGTGCCCCCCTTCGAGGTATCTCGAGGGCGTCCTGTAGCATGTTCGCCCCGAGTACTTGAGGAGTTGGACTCAAGGCAGAAGGAACTGGCGACTTTTCGCGGTAGCCAGTCCCTACGGAACTCACCGAGCCACTAGCTTTCGGCCTCTTGCTATAACACGTTATTCAAATTCAGCAGATTTTAATAATTAAACATGAATATAGAGATGACTAAAAACATATTTAATAGTGTGAAAGAGTTGGGAAAAAATAGAGGCGAATTTATTTTCTATTAGATTCATTTTACTTACTTTTTATATATATACAAAATTAAAACGAGTATTATAACACCGAGAAGACCCAAAACGGCGCCAAAAACAGCAACGAGAAGGACACTACTGCCCAACCATGCAGGTGCAGCCCTTGCAGCGATGGGCAGAGAGCCACTGCTCGGTATATGCACGATCACTGGGATCATGCTAGACCTAAACGAAACATTTCCTTTCAATGAATGACGAATATAAACATTTTCCAAGTAAAAATTTTCATTACATGATTGACTCACCTAGGAGGGCGTCCAGAATCAGAGGCTACAGCCACTAATCTGGCCAGAGAACCATTAACAGTCGCAGCTGATCTGAGAATTAGCTCTCCATTGTCACGTATCTCGAAAGACCTATAATAATTGAACTGTTTAAATTTAACACTATAATATCCTAATAATAACAATAATAATATAATATTCTACACGTTTCTGTATTGTACCTTGCATCTGGTCCTCTAAGGGATAGACTAACTTTATCATCTCTGTCGCCATCGGCAGCTTCCAGTTTTCCTAAAGGATTCTTACTATTATCACATATGTTACGAAAAGTTTATTTGACCAACTAATTGCGAAAGAGAAAGTTCGCTTACCGACGACAGACCCCTCTCTCAAGGTTGTCGCGTGGAATTCGTACCTGGGATGACGAAACCGGGGTTCCCATTCATTTACATCCTCGACAGATACATTAACGCGTGACGTGTCGTTCTGCAACGTTTCATTCACAATCTGTATTTTGTCGGAATTCTTTTTCAAGAGAGACAAGCGTGAAATACTCAAATTTTAGCACATTTATGCCTCTTACAAATTCATAAGAATCTATAATTTAGTGATTACAAATAAGCTATTAGAAAACATACGTGATGACCGTCAGTAACGCGAACCAGGAAGCTATGTTGGATCCTCCTTTCGTGATCTAATGTGCCTTTTAAAATTAATTCACCGGAATTGGTGATAGAAAACCTCTCGAGATCTTCGATTGCTCCCACGAGCCAAAACCTCAGGTTCTAAAAACGCAGAAAAATGATTTACAATACATAATTATGTTGCAAATATATAATGTAAAGAATTTAATATTACGACTTACAGAATCTACTTTATTTACTGCCGTTGTTAACAAAACACTCCCCGGCGGGGTATTCTCCGGGATGCTAGTCTCGTGATCCCTTCGTATAAATTTCACAGGTAATCTTCCACCTAATATATTTATATCGTTTTAATTATTTGTGAATCGAAAGGGTGAATTATTTAATTACGTACCAGCGGTGGGTTCGACGACCCAGTCGCTCTCGCGTGAAACGATTATAGTAGAAAGAGCGTATTTATCCGGATTGTCTACCTGCGTGGCCTGTCAATTAATAAAACAATTTTTTATATATAAGGCATCCCAAGCATTTTTTAATATCAACCTCTGTTCGAAATGAATTTGTTTTATATTATCAGAGGCATTAATCATTAATTAGAATGCTTGCCTTAACGACTATTGTGGCTGGGGACAAGAGTTCATGTTCGTACAGCGGCCGCGTTATGCCAACTTCGGCCGTTTCCGGATTCAAACTGAGAAATGGTAGAATTCCTCCTTGAATCGTGTACTTAACTGGGGCATTGATCCCTAAATCTTGATCGACAGCTTTTATCGGCGCTGGGTCTACCTTCAGCAGCCTTCTCTGAAAGAAACGGATCATTTATCACTCTTAGCCTGATTCTATTATAATTAATTCATTGATTTCAAATAGATATGTAATTTTACCGTTTTGATGTTTCGTGGAATAATTATTTTATACTGATCATTTTGGAAGGCAGGATTTTGATCGTCCGCGTCAATCACGTTCACGTAAAGAGTCGTAGTCGATGATTTGGGAGGATTCCCTTGATCCTATATAGAATTTAAATTAATATTAATTACTGCAGATTTTTAGGCAAAATTAAACATTTAGGGTATCGAATTAAAAAAATATTTTATTTTATCATTTAATGATTGAAATATCTATTCTGCTTTGAATATTCTGAATAGTTTTTATAATTTTTGTACATTCAATTTTCTTATGAATACATAAAATCTAACTGCAATACTAATAAAATTTTTCGTTGAGTGACTCACTTGTGCGCGGATATCCACGGAGAAATTAGCAAGGCTCTCGTAATCCAGTGGTTTCCTGAGAACTAATGTACCCTCCAACGCATTGACGAATACAAAGTAGTCCTAGAAAATATTATTATTAATCTCTCTAAAAACGAAAAGGAAGTAAAAAAAATTACCGAATGCGGTCCAGGCAGTACGGCATATTGAACAGTCGAATACGGTCCCGGTTGATCGGCATCCGCTGCTCTCACTCCTTGAAGAACCCTAGTACCGACTACCGTGACCTAAATCAATTTTAAATTTAAATTCATTCATTAAAAAATTGTATAATAATTAAACTACGGATTTTTATATTACACTTTTGATACTTTGTACATTTTCGTGCATCAGACTTAAAGCTTCTATTTCTTCCACATTCAATTCTTTTACAAATGCACGAAATTCGCAAAATAATATTAAGAAGCATAAATGAAATTGTTTCTTCACCTCTGAGATATTGAGAACGTACGGTGCGTTTACGAACTGTGGTGCATTATCGTTCGCGTCAGTCACACGAATATTGACTGGTATCACGAATCCCTGCAAGTAAAAATAATCAAATTCGTTATGCTGCTACATTTTCATAGGCGCAGCATAAATATTGTGAGAAGAGTATCTTGTATATTGAACGCACAGGATCCAGAGTATGTTTCCTCTCGCAAATCACGTTCACATAAACGCTGGCAGGTCCATCAACGCCCTCCTTGTCGAGAGGCCTGATAAGAGTCAAGTTCTTCGAATACGGCGAGAAAGCAACGGGACTGTCGATCTCTTGGAGTCTGAGCTCGATGTCACCCTGCGGCCCGGGATCGCCCAGCACCCCGAGGACGCCCACGATGTCACCGACCGGCAAATCTTCGCTGACGAAGAGATGCGCCGCGGTGGCACCGTTCTCCAAAAAACATCTTGCATCACGGATCACTATATTTTTATAAATTTCATTTTATAGTACAATTGCTGAGTTTGCAGTACTATTTTGTATAGAACTTTTCATGAGAAAATTGTGAAGAGGCGAAAGGTAAAAAGATAAGACGGTTAATGTATAGCCGGGAACAGGTTTATATGTAAATACTGGAAAATCAGACTTAAAGCTTCTATTTCTTCCACATTCAATTCTTTTACAAATGCACGAAATTCGCAAAATAATATTAAGAAGCATAAATGAAATTGTTTCTTCACCTCTGAGATATTGAGAACGTACGGTGCGTTTACGAACTGTGGTGCATTATCGTTCGCGTCAGTCACACGAATATTGACTGGTATCACGAATCCCTGCAAGTAAAAATAATCAAATTCGTTATGCTGCTACATTTTCATAGGCGCAGCATAAATATTGTGAGAAGAGTATCTTGTATATTGAACGCACAGGATCCAGAGTATGTTTCCTCTCGCAAATCACGTTCACATAAACGCTGGCAGGTCCATCAACGCCCTCCTTGTCGAGAGGCCTGATAAGAGTCAAGTTCTTCGAATACGGCGAGAAAGCAACGGGACTGTCGATCTCTTGGAGTCTGAGCTCGATGTCACCCTGCGGCCCGGGATCGCCCAGCACCCCGAGGACGCCCACGATGTCACCGACCGGCAAATCTTCGCTGACGAAGAGATGCGCCGCGGTGGCACCGTTCTCCAAAAAACATCTTGCATCACGGATCACTATATTTTTATAAATTTCATTTTATAGTACAATTGCTGAGTTTGCAGTACTATTTTGTATAGAACTTTTCATGAGAAAATTGTAAAGAGGTGAAAGGTAAAAAGATAAGACGGTTAATGTACAGTCGGGAACAGGTTTATATGTAAATACTGGAAGGTAGTATTTCTTCAGCTGCTCGTGTGGATCGTGTTCCTTCGATCTACATATAGATAGTGTGGTTTTTGGGTTTCCGGTTTTTTTCACGGTTCACCGCTGTCCATCCTGTCAAGGGGAAGGTTCAAAGAAAACGTAGTCCTATAGAATATCAGACAATAGAACCTTCTGATATTTAAAACACTTCGAATCAGTCCGAAGCTAAGAACTTTTGAAAATCTTGATGAGTCTTGAAAGTATTGATCGTCTTAAGAATTTTGAACATATCGATAGGAAGCCGTAAAATTTAGATAAGCATCTGATATCTGAGAAGCTCTTCTTTATTTTTGTTGAAGATATTCTAAGAAAAAATATAGAAAAAATATTGAAATATTGGAAATGCCTTTAGATTGTGAACTTTTATTATGTTTTTCTTGTTAATTTATTAAGGCCATCCAAACTTTGAATATTATAAAAGAAAGCCTTGAATTTCTTCAGTCGTAAAAAGCTTTCGATTGGATCCAAACTGTATTTTATATTTTATGTCCAATCCGAATAAATTTTAAATAGAAATAGCACGCATGTGATACGAATGGTCAACATTCACGATGCGTCATAGAGATTAACAAACCAAATTAATACAGAGTAAAACGCGGAATGTGTGCATGTACGTATATGTACATATAAGTCATTTAACAGGAGCTGGTACACGAGGGGTTTAGACGTGTGCGCTCCCTTGGAGCGAAGTTCCGCCCGCTGCCAGCTCACAGCGTATCGACGATGCAACAACGTTCCGCCGTTGCCTTTCGTAATCTTTTTTCCCCTCGACAGTCGAAGAGTTTTCCAGAAGAAAATCTTGTCATTAGTTCTGATCCGATGGAGGGGAATAATGGAACAAGAACCCACCGTTCACAGTTAATACTATCCATTACGATTTCGTAACAACGTTAACTGTTAAACTTGGTTGTCTCGAATTATCTACATTTGCAAAACGAGTGTTCAGAAATTCCATTGCAATAAAGTATGATAAATGTCCCAATTTCTGTTCATGTAACAATTTTTAGTCGCCGGCTTATGATTGCATATAGGATAGCCGAAAAAGAGGTCAGCGAAGCAAAATTGTCGCGTGAACAGAAATTGGGTCTATATTTGGAAAACGAGTATTCGGAAATTCTATTACAATAAAGTATAATAAATGACTCAATTTCTATTCACATAAGTTCTGTTCATGTAACAATTTCTATTCACTGGCTTAAGGATGTATTGGCTATANTTCTAGAAAGTGTAATATATGCAGTATATAGCCTATACTTCCTTAAGATTGCATGTAAAATAATCGAAAAAGAGGCCAGCGAGGAGAAACTGTGACGTGAACAGAACAAATTGGGTCATTCACGTAGTCATGCAGTAAATTAGAAATCAATTTTTGCCACGTTATCTGACAAAGTCGCGCGTTAATGTTTGAACCAATAAACCGTTCCGTTACACATTCATTGACTAGTATTACAATCGGTCTATTACACAATGGATAAGCCAGGTAGAAAAGTAATACTAATTCACACGATTATGCACGGTGAAAAAGTAAACGAACGTTTAAGTCTTATCTTAACAGGTTTGCTTCCTTTGTACGACGATAGCGTCTTGCAATTATCGTACATGGGAAACACCGATTCTTCGCGTGAACGACTCAATTCTTTCTGCAATTCGCTAATCGTATACACGTAGTATAGATACCGTGTTGAGAGGATATCACCGCGTCTAATTTATTACTACGGCCTAATTATCATGCTTGCTTTCCGCGAAACGAGGAAGAGAAACGGAGACATAAAAATTTTTCGCAATGCAACTCGGCTTTCTAAGCGGGACATGCGATCGTTGCCTCGGGCAGGGAAACTGGCCAAAGGGAAGTCCGAGTGAATTTCGTGGACTTCGTGCCCGTTCGAGTCCCTTTCGTAAAACCGCAGCTCCTTCTGCGTGACGGTTCGCACGCGATCAACCGTGTGATGAAACGGAAGACGGTGCGATTAAGGTCGCGGCCAAAATGGAAAGAGGAAAGCGAAGAGGGCGAATTATGGAGCGGAAGGGACGAAAGGGGGAGAAAGCAGGTGGCGTGAGAAAAGCCGGCAGACCCACATTGTCCAGCGTGTAAATGCACTGTGCAACAGAGGATGGGCAGGATCTTCAGAATGCTGTGTTTCATGGCGATCCAAGGACATCCTTCACCGGTCCGGGCAACGGCCGATGCATCTGCAATTTCGTACAAAAAAATTACACATTAGTATAATTAAACACATGTTACTTGTCGATCTTTATGAAGCGGAAGATATCGATTTTTTGTTGTTCTTAAGATCAGTTTATGAGAAACTCTATTTGCTTTTGAAAGTATGTCTGGTTGGGGAATACTGAAAAGTTTATGGAGGCGAACTGTAAACAGGAGGAAGTCCCCTTAATTATTGTGCATAACTTTTTATAGCAAAACTCTAACTGCATGTCGTTCTTCAACTGATGAAGAGATCAATTATGATGTGTGTAATTCAATTTAATACGTGATATACAACTAAAAGCTGAATAATTACTCGATTAGTTTACAAAGTTTAAAAATATTTAGAAATAGTGTATCATCTACTTTATTAAATTAATCAGAACTGAATGAAAGTAGCCTTTAGATTGATTTGACACACTTATTTCTGACAAATATGAATAATGTGCAAGAATTTGGATGACACGTGTTTTTAAGTAAAACAATTTTTTAGATGGACATCTGAAAAGTTTTATTTTGCATCAAAAAACAGGATTTCAATAAATCCGAGCTAGTGAACATTTCTAATTATATTAGAACGTTTGAATACTATGAGGAACGGGATTTTGTAACTAATTAGTTCATTCTACGAGACTTGGCTACAGTCTTGGGTCTGTAACGTGTTACGACAGAGGAACGTATCGTTAATTAAGGATCGCGTGATTATAGACAGTTCCCAGCGAACGAAAAGCGAGCGCAAACATTTGTCGGATCGATGTCGGATCGTCGGGATGACGGGCATTGAAAAAAAAAAAAACCGAGCATGTATGTATACCTAAAATGTGTTCGCAACGCCTAAGCATAACGCGTGGTTAGAAAGCATGCGAAGAAACTGCTTTATTACGTGAAACCTAGATACCTGGAACGACATGGAGATCGCAAGTGGGGGTTGCGAGAGCGATAGTTTTGCCCGTGATCCGTTCCAAAGTGCGTAGCCGAAACCAAAGAAGGGCAAAATGAATCGAATCGCGGAGGTAAAAGTTAATTCGTGATTGCGGCAAGTTTGCGGCTACCTGAGAATCTCTATTCCATTCGCGCTGGTAGTTAAAAGAGCCTCGAACCTTTTACGAATTGAAACAGGAAGTCAAGTGATCGTGTCTCGCGATGCACAGAATTCACATTAATTTACCAGTTCGTTAATTGGAAAATCTTCCTCATTTTTTTCTGCAGGGTTTCAATCACGGTACGCAAGTATAAAAAATTGAAAGTAGAATCTATTAGATTAAAAACATCGTCCCTTTGTATTCCCCTGCTAGACAGTAATTGCAATTAGCAAAATAAGAGTATAAATGAAAAGAGAATAGTTCGACGAATCGCAGTTCAATGTTTGAAGAAAGGGTCTAGCCGGATAAGATGGTAAAATGTGCCCTTGAACGAAATTCAACTTGCAATGAGCCATTCGATAGAGTGTCCAAAAAAAACGTCCCATGCCAATTTTCAACCCTCTATCTCAATCTAAGCAATCGCGCCGTACCCTTGTTTAAGCCGGCAATTACAGTTTCTATCGGTTGGAACAAAGCGGTAAAAGCAATCGGCGCGAGAGTAAGCGGAAATAATCCGCGAAACCGAGGAAAAAGATTCCCTCCTGGTAAAACCGAATGATTTATGCTACGGGATGCGCGAGCCGGATACGCTGGTTATGTGGGCCACGATACTCCTCAAATTCACCGACCGTAAACTGAAACGCACTGCCATGGGCAACCGGCGTAAAGTCCTCCCTCTTAGCCACGATATTCGCGATCCCATCGATAATATCCTGGCACAAGGAATGGCCCGATGATTCACTATACTCCCTTGTTCTGTCCGTGCTTCTGTTTGCCGGCCACTTTCACGATCGAAAGTATACAAGTACTCGGTTTTCGCATTACAAATGTGAATCGAATATGACGGGTTAACAATGCAAATCGTAATAATACGTAATACGTAGTAAATTCTCTTAATTTCTCTTCACGTGACCATTTCTACTCACTGGCTTTTGTTTTTCTATAACTTTATATGTAATATTAAACCAGTGAGTAGGAATTATGACGTGAATAGAACTTGGAATATTCAATATTTATATGAAATTCTTATAAGGGTTTGAAAATATTTTATACAATTTGATTTTATGCGTCTATATTTAGATCTAAGCTCTAAACACTTACCACAAGTAAGTTAAGGGTTCGAAATCAACACCTGCACTGTTTCACTGTTCACCCCTTGAAGCTTTAGTATTTTATCGTCTATTAGTGGCTGACGATTTCTTTTAAATTTTCATTACCATTTACTAACAATTCACTCCACTTGATATAACAAACTTTCTATCATCACCCAGCAATCAACCCCTTATCCAACCATTTCATCACACAACAAACTCTTAAAACAGCACGTAACAGGCAATTATTGGTTTATCGAAAACACGTGATATATAATTAAAAAAGGAAATGCACTAATATAAAAAATAGAAGATCTTTGAACTCGTTTTCCCACCGATTTTTAATTATTCTTTTTTAAGATCCATACTTCAAGTACTGCTATTTTTATTCTGATGGAAGAAGCACCTGTCTGCTTTTGATCGGTAGGACTCGCTAGTACGAAACGCGGACGAGTAAAGAGACGTGGTAGACCTGCACTCGGGAAGTTGGTTCTCCATTGTTAGGAAGGGGGGAATCGACGGCCAACCGAGCACCTTCCTGGCCCTGCTTCGAACAGGTGTTTACTTTCATTGGGAGGAAATTAGGCGGCCAGTGTGTGTTTCCGACCCTGCACACACGGCTGCGTTATTTCTGTAAAAACTGAAATCCTGGATTTCGGAAACCAATAAGCGGGAGTCGCTTCAGGCTCAGGGGTTGATGTCACTTTCAGGCCATAACTTCAGTTAATTACGATTTTGTAAAATATATTTCACTTTTAATACCAAGAAAATAATAATAAGTAATACTGGCGTATTGGCTCATGCCTATTTCAAGTTTTTAACATAAAATCTATAAAATATTATACATTTTTGTCTGCTCTATTTTATTTAGTCACAAAATATCCGGGTAATTATCAAGAAAGTATGAAATGTAGAAATAAAATTATTGCCAATAACACTTTATTTCCAAACAGCGAAATGTTTACAAATATTACTAATTAATTAATAAAACACACTTAATCGAGATTTTTCCATTTTAAGAAATAAGTGCGTTCACATTAAAGGTGTACAATTCCATTGTATGTAAGCATCTTGCCACCTGCAAATACGTAGTTGTTATTAAAAAGATTTTGAACATAACAAAGTATTTTCAAGAATCGTTCATACTTGGAACGAATGAGTTTCTCCAAAGGGGTTGCTGCGATGTCTAGACAATCTTTGCTCGGACCCTCGTATTCAGAATCGTTTTCGGAATTCGATCTTGTATCCACGGTTAAAATCGCGTGACTGCCGCCGCAGGTGAAATATTGGATCTCGAATCTTACAAATAAGAATAGTAGACGTTCAACAGATAACAAAAAAAAAAAATAGAGAAAAATCATCTGTACAGGCAAAGTAATATTTTACTTTCACGATTACTATTTGTCACAATGTATTTGAATAATACCCAAGTCGGATCGTGTGCCACTTATCATAATTGAAGAGATATGGGTAACATGATACGTAATAGCGTTTAAATACCGTTTAAATACCGTCGTACGTTACGTACCGTCGTTCAGCGTGATAATTCCTAAGTAATTCGCGGTTCGTGTTGAACAAGACACCATGATGGCCGTGGCATAAGGTGACCCAAATTGGCAAGCTAGGCGTTTTCAATCGAGAACCTGGCGTTTTGCTCATCTGTCCATCACCTTCGTGTACGAGAAATCCTATTTCACTTCTTACGAGTACACCCCATTGCGGTATGGCCTTGACATTTTACATGTTTATACGAATGCATACAAAACTAAAGTTCGAATAGAACAAGGGATAAGGAGGCAAGATTACTTACGTATGTATTTTCATCCCCCACGTGCATCACCCCATTGTGAAGGTGAGGCGAAGCGCGACCGGTTAATGAGAGCATTATAACGCTCGTGGGACCCTCCTCTGGACAGCCGCTTAGTATAGAAGCTTTCGAGTCCTCTAAGTCAGCTCGTATTCTACAAAGATAAAGTCTTGACCGGCGTTCTAAAGATTAACGACAATTAAATTATATGTGAGTACTAACTTGGACAGTCCTCTGGAAAGCAGAGCGCTGTATATCAGTAATATCGCACCGGGACTGCCTTCATCTTGGAACTGAAATAATGTATACGATAGAATTTTGGAAATGTATTTAAAATTCATTTACTATTATTTCCAATGCAGTTGGAATATTTGAAAGAGTTCGGCATTCACTAACTGAAAGCCTGCATTCTGGCAGAGAGAGGAATTCTCGAACAATTATTGTAATTGCCACAATGAATCAACTTATTCAACTTACCAAGTATAAGTATCTTTTGATAAATATCTCCAGGTCCTGTACAGACTCAAACTCGAATAAATGTAGCTACGAAAAACATTCATTTTCACTAGTCAGTGTCTTCTTATCACTTTTTTAATTACGTCGATTTACACTTTTACGTACGGTCTCCGTGAGGCCGTCCTGGAAGTATTGCACGCTGTGTTGCACGTAGGGTGTATCCTGCGGCAAAACGACTACCGCTCTGGGCACGTTCACATTTCCGGTGACGGTTTGATTTGGCGAACAACCAATATTTTGCACGGCGAATCCACCGGCGCAACGCCAAATGATCTCGGCTATCGAGGCTGTCAGGACATCAATTTGTCTATCGTACGACGGTTTCAGCAAACTGTTCCAAACGGAAATAAATTGTTTGAACTATTTTTTTTTTCTATACGTTTCATGTCATATTTTCTACGTAGTCAGTACAATTACCTTTCCGGCGTAGCGTGAGTGTCTTGTCTGTTGCACTTGAACAGGAAATGCTTCAACATTATGGCTTGTACAGCCGTGACCAGTCCTCTGGTTGTGTTCCTCGGTGTCCGTAATCCGAATGCTAAACTTTGACCGTAGGGTCGTAAGGTGAATCCAGTTCTTGACCATTCTTGTCTCGGTGGAGTAGCGGCACTTCCGAAAACCAACGTTCTTAAAAGCTGCAATAAGAAATACGTAACAATGCAGTTGAATACAGAAAACTTGCTTAAGGTAGAGAATTAATTTTCTTACGATCCTTTTTGAATTATAACTACATTTTCATGACTAGACAGTGGATTTTATGAATCTACGAGGAAATTGATGGTACAAACAATATACAGAATATCAAATGCAAAATTCATATTACAATATTTAAACGATTAAAGGAATTTCTATTTAAAATATATTTCTTAAACTGACACTATAAATAATACTACTTTAATAGTTCTTAAAAATGAAATTACCATACATGTCTCCTGGCTGATAGGTTTCCCACCGATCACAGCAGTTTTAGTCAGAGTCCTGGTGTTCCTCGGATATATAATCTTCTCTGCAACAAATAAGCCCGCGCATTATCTTCGTTAATTTTTATATAAATTCTTCGGTTTCTCCACCTGGGTAGAGCTCGTCGGGTTCTCCCATCAGAGCCGCACATCTCGCCACTCTAGCCGACAGAAGCATTTTCTCAACACAGCAAGGACAATTCTAATTTTGCCAGATATAATATAAAAAAAATGGATTCGAAACAGAAACGAAAGGAAATATTGAAACGCCCATGAGACTTGGAACAGTTGTCACTCGATGCACAGTGGCGCAGGCAAGCTATCGACTATCAATTGGGATTCGTGCTGGATTCCAGGTCCCTTTATATACGCTGATCATAGCTAGATAGCACGACGAATCTGTGAAACTTTCGGCAGCACGAAAACGTGTCAATCCAGACAACTCAAAGACACTTTGCCCGCGATAGACATGCCCCAATAACGTCTATCCGTCACTTTTCCAATATGCGCGGCGGTAATCCCGACTCACGCGAGCAATCTAATCATCACGTGTGTACGGGCAATGGGACAGTGCTTGTGGACACGCGTGCCGGAACCACAGCTTCTTCGGAACTTACAGCCACTCGAGAAGAATAATTGGCGTCGACGTTGACACGCATGAAATTATAACACAATAATTTAGGAATCAATTTTTCATTATTGCGATTTTCCCTCTTTACCCTTAATAGACCGAAACATTTTTTCTTCTATAAATTCAAACGTACAAAAATTGGTTGTTCATTAAAAGAAATCTAAGAAGATTACCACAAAATTATGCAATTGTTCCAATTACTCGAGCCAGTGGACGTAAAGCTTATTTTCGCAATCCCGCATCTGGAGCAGAGAAAAATTGAACGGAAACAAGAATCCCGTTTCACCGAAATACATAATCGCGATTCACCGTAAAGTAATAATTCTACGTCCTGGAGCAGCAGCCACGTTCCGCTTTTCGTTTACTATTTCACTTCTACCCTGCATACGTGTGCCATTTACCCATTATACCCAGTTTCGTGTGAATCGTTTCTCGTAACACGCGAACCTCGAAAAACGTACGTTCTTCTAAATCCGCTCTTCTTTAACCCATTTTCTGTTACGAGCTCTTTTTTCCCGCCCAAAGTAATAGTTTCGGTACCTGCCTGTATCTCCCATTATTTCGAACCTCATTTTTACAAAGAATTTATTACATACGTAAAAAAACAGCTTTTATTTCATTTACTGTTTTATTTACTGACTCTAAATGCAAATGAAATATTTTTAATAAGCTTTTAATTTAAAATCCTTTTAATTACGTTTTCTTACTAATTCGAATCTTCTTACTAATTCGAAAATTCTGCCTGTTATTCTGTTTTCTAAAAATAGTAACAAGATGTAGGTGCTGTGTATGATTTCATAATCTTCATAACGTTACCCGAAGTAACGGTAAATAACAGATTGTTAATTCGTTTTACGTGTTACGTGCGCTGGCATGTGTACATCTTGAATACGCTTTAAGAACTGGTTGAATCGCGTGTTCGCGTGTAATCGAGTCTATCGAATTACGAATTCACGTCGGAACAGGCATCTGCATTTGTCGATTACACCTATAAAACGCGGTTTAATTTTCACCAACGATCCATTATCGATCTAATTCGCGAATCTCTTAATGAAAATCAGACTTTTGAAACTGTCTTTCATGTCTCATCAGTCCATTAGGTGCTAAAATATTTGAAGCAAACGTAGCCAAGGCATTTTGTAACAATGCAGATTTTTGAAACATGAGACTGAAAAGAAATTCCCATCTTTCCAATTTATAAATAATTTTGTGACCCTTTCAACGCCTTCGTGATTAATGTACCTTTCTGGCGGAGGTACGCCGGCTTCTCTGATCGCATTTCCGTGCAGTGGCTCTTTCCACGCATCGACGCCGAGGACGCCGGTGCGGACGCCGAACATGAGTTGCTACTTTCCTCAGTCTCCTCCACTTCTTCCATGTTCTTCATTTCGAAATTAAATCCTTACAAACACTTCAACATAATAGAAATCTCCATCGAACCGTAGCTACTGTCAATTTATTAACTTTTATATTTCGCAACCGAAACATCGTCACGGTCCACTAATTAGAATTAGGCGCGTAACATATTTTTATATCATTTTTAGTGGCGGAGGTTTATCTATATCCAATTAATTAACTCGAACGTCGTCGGACCGGTCGACCTTTGTCTTTCACGTTTGATCCTCGATCGATTTTCGTGGTGAGAACGGTTTTAACAGATGGAAGTAGTCAAGTGCTCGTTGCTGCATCGAACTGCCTAGACTGACAGGAGTTAATAATTCCGGTAGGTTTTGGCCGAGTCGGTTCATCGCGCCGCGCACGAGCTACCATCCCACCAGGCTATTGGATACGTATGCATCTATATGCATAACGGCGGGCCATGAACTCGAGGATCCGAAGGCTTAACGGGTTTAACACCTCAGGAAATCCGCTGCGAAAAAGTTTCGAGCGTCAGAAAGTCTCGACCTAACTAACGTTCAGTCGAAGGTTGCTAGTAGTATCGAAATCCAGCTTGATAACAGCAATCAGCCATTTAATAGATTTGGTCTATGAAATCCTACCACGAAATTCTACTCTCGTACGTTATTTGTTACACACGCTTGTAAGAGTATCGCGCGTTAACTGAAATCCTTGATAATCCTTCCTCGAATGACGCTTTGCACATTTGCACGTATATGCATAAAGTACATTTCCATGTTGCAATTTGGAGCAGTACGTCCCGCGCTATCGCGTAGGTTTATCGTGGATGCCGATCTTTGCACGCATTCCACATTTTCGTTCGATAGGGATAGATAATCGAGAACAACGTCTAGAGATTATTTCGAGCAATCCGATAACATTTGCACTATCGAAGAATTGATCATGTTTATTATTCTTGTTCATACATGGTGCATCATTTTTATTAGATTGCATACAGTGGAGATTACAAAAAAAACATTCGATAGGGGTAGATTGCTTTAGATAACGCCGATTGTTTTTGATATTTGCGCTATCAAACAATTGCCGGTATTTATTATTGTTGAATGACAAACTAATTTATCACAGCAACAAGCAATCCTATATCTACTTAAATACATCTAATCTTGACCGCTGTCCTTATTCATCCTATCCTAAATATTCCCCATCCTATCCTGTTTTCATCATTAGATCCCGACTAATCATAAGGATAAGCAGAACTGTACAATCAGGTAAACTTTCATAGTTTGTACTTGCGTACAGAGCTGTACCGTGTAATAAAGTTCCTGAAGCTTCAACTTAAGAATTGTTGTATTTTATTTCAATCTTGGAGAACAACACCATAGAGAGAATAGACCGACGGTTCAATGAGTTTTTATTGAATCCGTAAAAAATAGAGATAACGTGCTTTGGTTGAGCTACTGTCTCTGTTTCACGTATCGATAGAAAAATAAAGAAATTGTTCCATTCATTAAGCTCAAGTTATTTGGGCGCTCGGTCTATTGTCACACGTCGCTGATTCATAAACGATATATTTCACGTGTTACGAAAGTTGAAAGAAAACCATTTAAATTAAAGAATAATGTTTGTATAACTGTACTAGTTAAATAGTTTCTATTCGTGCGTATATCAAATGATTTCACCTGTTGTACATATGTAGATACTTATTTGGTCGATTCGTTCAAACTTCGTGCAGATTATCTTATCGGCCTTTGCCATAATTACCAATTTCCTGACTATCATGCCGGCATAATCAAAATTGCGTTCGCTGGTTAAGTTCAAGATCGTAGTGGATGGAAATAGATGCTCCATATACGGCCTTCGAAGGTAAGTAAAATTCGATATTTCGAATTCAGATACTTAGACAATGAATTTAAATAATCCAGTTTTTATATTCCATTAATTCTTTATTAAGAATAATACAACTAATGCGGTAACACGAAGACAGATAAGTCTCTTAACAGTAGTTTAGATTTTGTCAAGGTGTATATTGGAATATGGGATTTATTTAATAAATATTTAGTAAATTTCATATAATACTATTTTATTATTTAATAAATAAAATTGTTTATTGCAAAAACTTTTTCTTCGTCTAAGCGAGAAATGTTTCACATAAAAGTTATATCTTCAACTGCTTCGAAAATGAAATATAATTTGCAGCTGCAGGTCATGGATTGAACTCGTAGAACAGTGACATTTTGGCATAAGAAATACATATAACTAATAATGGTATATAACGAGCGAAAAACTTGATTTCCAAATTGAGTTTGTGTAACTTCGCGTTTAATGAACATTTAAATGTCTTGGTCTCGGAAAAGGTATTTAGTAGATGACCACGCGAAGGCGTCAAGACTTCTGTTATATTTTTGGCACGGAAATTGTTCAGCAATAGTCTGTTATTGACCTTATGAAATATGCTATAGATAGATACGTGCATTCTCGAAATTATTTGTACATGTCTGCATTGTACGCAAACAAAGATAGTGCAATATAAAATTGAGCTAAGAGCTGGGTGGCTTAGTGCCAGGAACGAAGTTACAATAGATTACGTGCAACTGCAAGTGTCTGATTACTTAATGATCGATCAGTTTCTCGCGTTTCTGCGAAAATACACTCTACATGCTATCTTAATCTATACAAGTACCTTCGCACTTGGGCGTTAGATTCGAATAAGCATTTGCACGAGTTGGAACCGAGTTCTATCAATCGAATTTACGAACTCTCAAAGTACGCAACTTTACTGTGCAACATTTATCGAGCATCAATTAAATGCAAATCAATTTCCTGCTTAGGACTTAAAACCTTACCGGATAAGATATATATCAACGCTACGACGCACTATTATATAAATATTGTATTAAAAATGGTAAAGTCTATTTGAATAAGCGGATTAAATCATGTGAAAGTATAATTAGGTATATTATGTAAAGGATTAATGATACGTAAATAATACGGTGTTCCACTTCAGAACGGGACAACTTTTTAATAGACCAAACTATTGATTGAACGTGATTTTTAACTCTTTTATTAGGGTCGTTAATAAAAGTTTGATACATCCCATTTATAAGTCTAAATAAGTTATATGACAAAGAAATACGTTTTTCTTTTGTTCTCCTGTAAAATCGCATTTTTGTCAAATACGTGGTATTAGAATGATGGATATACTGTTAATAATGTAACAGCTACAGTTATAATTGATGGTTTTCTAAGAATGCTGAGGACATTTAATCAGAAAATTGCGCCTGAACAAGCGCAATGCAACAGCATCTAATAATCCATGCGCGCGAATTTTACAGTATTTCGCGACATCTGCCGCGGAAATACTGCAGTACCTGACAACCGATGCATCGTTTCAGTTCCGGGCGTTCCTCCACGACAAGCATGCATCGTGTCGCAGGAGAATTAGGTGCGATAGTGGACGAAATCCTAGCAATTCGTTCGCTCGTGCGTTATAATCTTTGCATAAAGAAGCCGACATCATAAAATATGTAGCTAATCCATTAGACGGAGAGATCTACCACGGTGGCCGGAGAACCGCCGACCGATGAGATCAACCCTCGTTTCCATCTCCGCACACGCTTACGTTCTCTGAGGAGTGGCGCGCAAAAAGATGGCCAGCTCGCCGACCAGCATTGAAAATCAAATAGACAGTTTTTTGGAACAGTTCAAACGCAGTGCTTCCCGCGCAATGGAGGAGTCCCACCGATCCAGTTACAATGCTTGCAGCAGTAGTATCAGTCATAGCCGGAGCGGAAACCTGGATCTCGAAATCCTGGAGGCTGGTAAGTTTCTAGTATAGATTCTAACTTTAATAACGATGCATCGCGTTATGACATTTTATTTTTAACATCTCTTCCGCTCATTCTTTTCTACTGCTTCGTTTACTGCACGCATGGGATCGGACAATTTCGCATTGTTGTCGATTGATTTTTCGGGCGTTTCACCCATCTTCTAATGTTAGTTTGAATACATTTGCATTAAGATAATCTTCCTATTAGAACTTTATCAATGTCATAGTTCAATTCATTTTAATATTGTACGTCCCTTAAAATAGTCAGCTTTAAAGTACGATAGATAATTGTTATCTGAGATTATATTTATTAGCAGTTGATTACGTAGGTATCAGAGTACGTCCGCTGATCGAGTAATTGAATTTCAAATCAATGACGAACTGACAGCCTAGCATAGTCATATTTATTTTATTTAATCGCACAGTTTGACAGTGACACGCTGCAAGTCACGTGCAGCCACCCCTCTTTTGGGTATCGAGTCTTTCACGATTGGTTGTTTCATCTCATCGTCGTACATTATGGCGTCGCATCTCTTTTAGAACACGGTAGAGGTCGTCGCCCGTTGTACAACTGTGAAGTCGTAAAACTGTAGGGTTGTTAAATGTATTCAACTAAATCGAAAAAATAATACGGCATAAACCGTGTCGGCGTGTTGCAAAATAATCACACGTTTCGCGTTAATATAAAATGCTTTATTCATATTAAAAATAATTGCTTGTTCCGTAGTTACTTGAAGTGATAAGATTGCGGTTATATTTGGGGTGCATTGCATGGGGATTAATCGGAAATACCGGCAGCAATAACTAAAGCGTATATAAAGCAGAAACCGGCGTCGTGGCTTTATTTTACTCGGCTAAATTAACTGCATCGTCGCGCATCAATAATGGAGTAGTTTTTTAAGGTAGCGATGATAAACGAAATTACTACGTGAAGTGTTACCTTGACTGATAACAATAATAACGTCGCGCGATACATAACTTTGTAACGCATTAGAATCGACTGGTGAGACATAAAGGAGCGATAATGATTGTTCGACGAAAGTCGTCGCACAGCTGCAATTGTCCGTGCCATCAGCATTGCTCAACGAAATGTGCAGGTTTGCATTAAACATACTTTATTCATTTAATAAGGCGTATCCACTCCGAGAGTATATGCACTCTGAAAATAGAACGATGCAGACATTCTTTGAAGCTTCGTTTCAAACTATAAATACTATTTATTTACACATTAATTATAATATATTGTGTTAAAATAATAATCATGTGTTACATAAACAAAGTTATAATTAGACAATTTTTGTATTTATGCTTCGTTCAATCTGTACGTATATCTGTCAAATCTCTGCTCGTACTGTGTTTATGTAACATTGTGGTTTGACACACCAACTCATGCAAGTGCATTTAATACTTGAAGGTATTGTGTTTCTGCGGTACACATACGTGTATATTAACATCGTTTAGAATTCAAATAGTATTAATGCATTTACGTTAAAATGTTGCTGTTTATGTTAATTGATACTTTAACAATTTCGAGATTCGGGTATTAAAGATATAATAAATTCTGCATATGAATGTTTTACATACACATACAGATACTGCATTGCATATACATGTATATAGCTTCGTGGCGTGTAACATGATCGTTCGATATTAAACGATAGTTTCTAGTACATATGGATAAATTAAAAACAAGTTGGGAAAGATGTATGAGCATTCAAAATTTATTTGATGAAGTATACTTTTAATACGATAATTATAATGTGGGTCTGTCTGTCTCGTATGCAAAATTGTTTCGCTACTGATGTGTTCACCCCCACCACAAAACATAGAGAACTGCATTCGCCGTATCATTGAGCGTTATGCTTCGTAGTACCCACCGGTATTATAGAGATTTATTCGACATTTTTGCCGCGACAGCGTGTCTAAATGTTTTTCTTTTTGAGAAACGTCGTGTCCGACTTTGCGAGAACAGTCACAAAGTCGAGTTAAGATAAGGTAAGTGGAATTTGATTTGGCACACAGTGTTTATCGTAAAGATGGAGGGCCATTGTTGCTCGTAGAGATTCTCAACCTCCTGTGTACGCTGGACATATCTATTCTCCTTTAATAAAACTCACACGGAAAGATTCATGCTTACTATTTATTTTACTACAACACGGATCAAAATTTCGTTTATTATCGTATTTTATGTTTCGTGAGATACTTTTTATTGAATAATAGAACTCTCGTAATTGGCATGAATCGCATAAGCGACACTATATCAGCTGATCATTTGTTTACGATCTGTTTGTTGATACTTTATGAATGATTTTATTTCTTTTATGTTCATATGTCTTTATCATTAAAATATTATTGTTTACCAGAGTACATAGAGTATTAACGGGCGCATAATATTCAGTGGAATATGGATACTGATTTATGTGAAGAAAATGAGATAGAAATGCAGGCGAAATTCGAAAATGCTGCATGTGATCTAAATCAAAAGGTTCTATCTGCGAGTGACTGTCAACGAGAGAAGGTAGGTAGACCATTCGTTTACTATGTCATATTTAAATTGTTCTCACGCTGTATGTATTAACCTCAATTAATTAATTTATCATGCTTATATGTGTGTGCAGTAACATTTTGTATAACACGTGAGTCTTTTGTAGGAAACGTGTAAAAATATAGCAGCTTCGAAATTAAAGAAGAATGTAACAAAAATGAAGGTAAAAAAGCTTAAAAGCGAGAGGGAATTGAGTTATGAATCGACAGGATTAGAAGATAGTCCAGCTGAAGTGTTAGAGAGATTTAAGAGGGGATGCGAATGCCAGGATGATCAGTGTTTCAAAGGCTTGAATCCTGAAACAGTGTATCGTCATAGACTAAATATTGCGGAGTTAACAAAAGCTGAACACGATATGTATTTAATGGGTGTTACTATGGCCTGCTTGACGAATCCATATGAAACTGCGAGGCACACGGAACGGCGTAGATTACGCGCGCAATACGTGTATCAGGGTAGACGAGTTTGTTTAGATGCCTTTTTATATTTAGAAAACTGTACGCACTATCAAATGAAAAGAATTAGGAAACATATTATGACTCACGGCGTTACACCGCGTGTTCACGGTAACCACGGGAAAATTCCACACAATACATTCTCTTTGGACATTTACAAAATAGCTACTCAATTTTTGAAAAGTTTTATCGAGCTGCAAGAAGCGAAACAAAAGACGAAAGTAGCGAAAAATTCACAGTTGCATCTTCCTCCGGATATCACATGTAAAGTAGTGTTCGCCTCATATGTACAGTATTGTAAAAATATGTCTCCCAATATAAAAATAATGGGTTATTCAACGTTTAGAAGATTCATGAAAGTCCAGTTTCCGCAAATAAAATTTGCTAAGTTAGAATTTCCGATTAGAAGTCAGAGTGTTCAGAGTCAAGGGTGTAGTAAGGTAGAGTTAGAAAAGGATGTCATTGATGAAAGAACGTCGAAATCAGCAGATTTCATAACAGAGGATGGTGCATTGTTACCTTTATTAATTGCTAGTGAAACAGGTCAAAGTGATACTTATTTTTTAACGCCAGCTGGCAAATTACAAGATGGTATAAGTTATCAGATCACTGCGAGTGGTCTCCTAGTCAATAAACCAGCATTACCTGTCTAAAGTGGAGCGTGTTTAAAAAATAAAATTGTTTATATTTAATACTCGAATATGGTTCCAAGGAAAGGAAGGTCTACTTCGTAAATACCAATTAAAGTAGTATTGCAAGCAATAGATAATTAATCATTTATAAATAGTTTATGCAATAAATCATGTTTCTTTTCATACGCCTGTACTCTGTATGTATATACGCAAAAAAGATTAGAATGTATGCTCAAGAATTACGAATAATTTTATAATTGGTTTGTACAAGTTTGTTAGTTACTAAATATTTTATAAGATTATTTATAGTACCTTGTTTTGTTGAAGAAACATTAAACTTTAATGAGCAAAGTTTCTTTTAACCGAAGAAAATGAATCATTGTATTTTATAATTTCATATGTAATTGTGTTATATTTATACTTGTGAGATAAAAGAATGTATAATGAGAAAAAATAAACAATTAGTATTTTTACTTCTTTTACTATGAATCTTCATTTCATACACTGTAAATGTGACGTGAAAATGTTGAAATTCCATTTATGTCCTATCACAGTTAAATTCCAAAGATGTAAATCAGAGACTGGAGTTAGGGGCTCGATAGTACAGTGTTTCTCACGAATTACTTTTGAGAATCATGCTGGCAGGCTGCATTACATATAACTACTATTATTCTAAATGCAACAGATTTTATTTATTATCAATTAACGTCGAATGTTTGAATGAATAAGAGGATATATTAATTGTGCAAATAAACATTTTATTAGAAAGAATCTCCTGATAATTAATATGATATTAATGCAGAGTTTGAGAGCCTCTTGCTTTACAGTTACAGCTGATACATCGTAGGTACAGCAGAGAACTGTTTAAGTTTGTTGGAGTCAGCAAGGTCATACAAGTGCATTCTAGAATCTGAAACTGACATGCAGTAAATATTGCATAAGTGATAATAAATTACATAACATAATTTGATTAAAATACTTTCTTTGAATAATAATACTGCTCAGGTACATGTTTCTATGGTTATTAGCTGGAAGGTATTTGTACAGTTTGATTTATGAATTCATTTATACAATTGTAGTACATTAAACGTTATTTCGTTATAAACATGTTTCATGTATAATATTAAAGAAAGATAAATTTAATGTTATATTATATTATTTATATTTAAACACGAGTACAATGTATATTATGAAAATGTGTTAGTTAATACTGTTTGTATTTTATATCATGCTTATATTTAAATTTTATATTTCATAGAAGATGTCGAGAGTATGACTGGAGAAATTGAGAATGGAGATTTAGCAATCCGGGATGTTGCAGATCTTCTACAATCGCAGTACGCTATTATAACAGGTAAGGCAAAACTAAGAGTATAGTATTTGAATTTTTGTTATAATAATACATTTTGCTCACAGGGGGAAAAACTCGAGAAGGATGTCCTATAATTACTTTTCCTGATAATGGTAACTTCCACAACTTATCAGACTTGGATTACCAACGTCTTATGCTATACCTTACGTCTGTGCCAACGTGAGACTTTTTTTCATTACTGCTATAAAATATACCTACGCAATGAGATAATTAAAAAATAATCCAATCATGTTTAGATTACAAGAAGCTGATCTTGGATTCCATTTGATAATTGATAGGAGAAATGACAAATGGAATTCTGTTAAAACTGTACTGTTAAAAATCTCCGTAAGTATAGAGGAATACAATTTGATTGAATGAAAAATTTTATACAAGTAAACTTTCAGGGCTTTTTTCCTGGTTTGGTCCATGTTGCATATGTCGTACGTCCAGCGGGATTTTTTCAAAAGGCTATTTCAGAAGTGTCTAACAAATTATTTCGAGAAGACTTTAAGTTCAGAGTTATATTCTTAGCGAACATTATTGAACTTCATGAATTTATAGATAAAGATCAGTTGACCGAGCAGCTAGGCGGTACTTTGCCATATTGTCATCATACCTGGATACAAAACAGAATTGTAATTAATACAGTAAATACTGTCTACTGATAAGTTTCATAAAATTTCAGTTGTATTAATCAGTTTCTTAAATTCTACAGAGTTTAGAAAAGTTTTCATCAATGACTCAAGACGTGTCTCTCGCATTGGACTCCTTTACACGGCGTTTAGCCGAAAATGAATTTCCTAACAATACAGTTGCAACCACATCTTTATTGTCTCAACAACAAGTGGAATATAACGAATTAAAAGAAGAAATTGTAAGTGCTGCAAGACATGGCGAAGCTCTGTTGGACAGTGTAAGGCAATTAACTGGCAAAGGGACTGCTGATAGATTAGGAAACGTTGCAGCTATAGAAAGGTGCGAGTTAATTTCATTCATATCACTGATTTATAATTATTACTATTATTTTTGAATGATTCAATGGAAATTCTCTTCTCTGTATATTTTTCAGACTACTTGTCCAACTGGAAGAAACAGAACGTACTTTCGACTTATTTTGGTCACACCATAGCTCTCGTTTGAAACACTGCTTAGCGTTAAGACAATTTGAAGCCGATTTCAGAGAGTTACAGGCAATATTGGACCAACATTTGAAAACCGTAGAAGAAATGACGGAAGTAGGAGAGACTCAAGCAAGGATCGATCAACTGCTTTGCGACACATCGGCATTTCAAAGAATATGTAAAGTACGTATTTACATTTACTTATATGTAACACCTTCTACTATTGGACAGACATTTTAAGCTATGATGCAAAGTAACAAGAAATAATATAACTTCATGAATCTCGATAACATACATTTAGCACATATTTAAAGATACTAACAGTATTAAATAATTATACCATTATCACTGTGCATAGTTAAGGGAATCATATAATCAAAGATATACGAGCAATAACATTAATAGCTTTAAGTTTGCGAATGTTTACAATGCACTTAAAGCAACAAGGCATAGCATATTCAAACCAGTATTATAAGGACTTCATTTTGAGAAAAGTTGCTGTAATCGTAATTAATCAAATATCTCAAAAATAATTCCATCAATGAATTTCAACAGAAATTCTGGTTTGGATAGTTTTGTAAGCAGTCACATATACGTACATATAATGCACATCATGCACAAATGTTATTTTGCACCGCTTTCCTCATTTTGTCGATAGTCCTATTTGTTGCATACCATGTGGATTTGGGTCTTGGTAAGCAATCCACTCAACAAGATACATATATTTTGTGATAGATTTACATTTTTAAATATAATGATGATAATAATGATAATTTAGTATTTCAACTTTTCTCTGTTTACTACATTTTGAAATATACTAACGTCATCGTTGTTTTTGACAGTTTTGTTTGAAATTTGTGAATTAAATCTCTATCACGTTTGCTGGTTCGTTAAACGTCTGTACTCTTATAGATTTAATAATTGCATAATTAAAAACAGAAAAGAATAGGGATTTAATTCATGCCTTATACTGGCATGACTTGAACTTTGAGAATGAATATCGTTTCTCTCACTTTGCACTGCACGTAAGATAGTATCTTTCGTTTATTTAGAGTAATTATTTAGATGAAACAATGAAAATTGGTGAAAAAATCGTTCAATGACTGTTGGTAGTGTTTTTGTTAGTCCTGTTCGCTGAGCATGAATAAAATTGCATATATTTATAGGGAGATATAGAACGAGCAGAGGAAGTGATATCCGCTGGTCACCAACTTTTGTCCGGGAGGCACCAATGTCCTACTGATGTCGTGGAACCAAAATGCGTGGAGTTACAGAGAATTTGTACTATCTTAGGTCAGAGATTGGAGAGGCGATTAGTCATGTTAACGAAGTGCAGAGAACTCATGGAACGTATAGACAAGGTGATTATTTACGAATAAAATGAAATTGCTAAAGGAAAGTTATTTACAAATTTGTTTCTGAATGCTCAACAGGCAAATGCATGGTGTACGCGCGGGATAGAGTTACTTGCGTCGCAAAATAATACGACACCACCGGACCAAGCACTTCCAGAGTTGCAAGATTTTACAGAAGCTGCCGAAGTATTCCATCACATGTTTCAAGATTCTGTAATGCCCGAAACGAAGGCTCTAATTAGTCAAGTACGTATTATTTTTTATGAGTAAAATCACACTCGCAAAATTCTATATATAAAATTAATATGTTAGGTACAGCAAAGAATAGAAGATGTGTCTTTAATGTGTGATAAAAGGATAATGACGCTGAAACAGCAATTGATTAAACCAACGAGACCAATTCAAACTGTAACACCTGAACCAGTTAAACCGTTGCAAACACTGCCTCAAATTGTTAAACCTGGAAGAGTTCTCAAAAAGGCTAACACTATGCCTAAGGTAAATCGCTCTCACTTAATTTAACAAGTATTTCATTCATTTTAATCAATCGAGTTATCTTAGATGGAGATGATACCGATGGAAGGAGAATCTTCGTCACCGGAAAGCGAGTCTAAAGATATAGACGCTTTACGCTTAAAACGTGGACACGTTTTAACGGAGCTTGTTGAAACTGAACGAATTTACGTTGCCGAGCTAGGTTCCATAATTAAAGGATACAAGATGGAATTAACGAATGAGTCAATGGCTCACTTGGTACCGGCAGCGTTAGTAGGCAAAGGGGATATCTTATTTGGAAATTTAGAAGATATATACATTTTCCATGGCGAAACGTTTTTAAGAGATTTAGAAAATTGTATTTCGAATACCGAGCTTGTTGCGTTATGTTTTGTACAAAGACGCGAAGTGTTCTTTAGATTGTATAGTTATTATTGCCAGAATATTTCGAGGTCCGAGAGATTGCGAGAGGAGATACAAAACGAGCCACAGTTTCTTGCAACTTGTCAGCAAAAGCTTGGCCACAAATTACCTCTTGCTGCTTACCTTTTAAAACCTGTACAACGTATAACGAAGTACCAATTGTTATTGAAAGATCTTTTAAAGTGTAGCGATGAGCCGTCATGTTGCACTGAATTGCAAGAAGCATTAGATTGCATGCTTGTTGTGTTAAAATGCGTCAACGACAGTATGCATCAGACTGCAATTACCGGATTTGGTGTAAGTACATTTATAATTTGTACCGTTAGACGGGAAAATGACAATTGCCGTTGGTGTATGACACGATTCTGTGTACTAAGACATTCGATAGGGATTTTCTAACAATGGATTTAGAATCTCTCGTTCCTTTTCCTTCAAAATGATCGATGCATCATAAACCCGGAGTATTCTGTGGGAAAACTAACGGCATTTAGACTGGGATTGTACGCGGCACAAAGTTAATTGCAGGCAGACGAGGGTACTTCGGTTCTTAGTTAGTTACCTGAAAGAAATTTCTGCCGCATTACTCTACAACCTTGAAATGTTAGGAAACCTTGAGAGGTCTCCGGAAATCTTGTTTAATAAAAGTTCTTATTTCTAGGGAGATCTAAATGCGCAAGGTGAACTTTTATTACAAGGCTCGTTCAGTGTATGGAGCAGCAGTAAGCGAGAACGGCTCCTCAGGTTAAAGCCATCGCAACGCCATATATTCTTATACGAGAAGGCTCTTATATTTTGTAAACATAGTAAACCTCAGGCTCACAACAAAGCTACATACCACTTTAAAAGATACTTAAAAGTAATTAATTTTTTATGCACTTTTCTTTGACAGATGACATTAGTTCCTCTTGTTAAATACAATTCTTTGTTTATATTAGATGTCACAAATAGGACTAACAGAATCTGTAAAAGGTGATGCGAGACGTTTTGAGATTTGGCTACAAGGGCGGGCTGAAGTGCATACGATTCAAGCGACTACGGTTGATGTTAAACAGTCGTGGGTGCGGCAAATTAAAGGAGTGTTGATGTTGCAACTGGCCGAACTCAAAGGGAAACAAAATTCTGTTCTTGGAAAAACGAATCACAAGTACGTACTAATAGTTGTAAAATAAATTAAAAATTGTGGAGTATAATGATTCTTCCGTTTCTAGACCGCTGCGGCAAACGATTTCATGGGAGGCTCAAGGCAGCATTTCTGGATCTTTAAGAACTCTTTCAATGGACGGTAGTAGCGTTGTATCTCATATTACGGATGTCTCGCAGTCAACTGAAGACGACGTCGCGTGGAGTTCGGAAAATAGCAATACCGACGACGAGGACGCTTTCAGTGAAAATCCTGGCCCTGCCCCAGTAAGTTCTCTTTGAAACGCTTGTTAAGTAGTCTAGATAAAGTTAACGTCCTGTAAATTTTGCGTCCAATTAGGGTGGAAGATACGTAGCATTAGCTGATTATTGTGCAGTTGGTCAGTCAGAAGTTACGATGCGCGAAGGCGACAATTTAGAACTTCTTAAAGTCGGTTGTGCTGGTTGGTGGTTTGTAAAATTGATAGGTACTGGAATAGAAGGATGGGCGCCGGCGGCTTACTTGGAACCAATGAATCGAAAAACGTCGCGCAGCTCGCAATCAGTGAACAGTCAAGAGACCATATGAAACAGGCGTCTAACACACTAGGTTCGCCCGGTGTGTTAGCTTTTATACACGTTATATTGAGAGCATCAATTGTTGAACCATATATAGTATTAGCGATTAATATATTGAAGGGTTTTTTAATACGAGGGTACGGAGGGGATATAAAAAGATTTTTGCATAACGCGTACGATTGTGCAGCGTAATGAAATTTGTTCTGAACTGTATTATATAGCAATACGTGCTTGATTATTATGATTGATAATATTAGCGATAATATATCGATTTTGTAAGATGTGAACAAGATTTTGGAAATTTTGCATAATGTGTATGAATGTATAACGTAACGAAATTGTTCTAAACTGTATCATACAGCAATATGTGCTTGATCATTACGATGAACTTCTGAGATAGAGAGAAACGATTTACGATACTGTCCTGATTACTTGATCCTTTGAAAAAGGAGTTGAACAATAAGAAGTCAGGGAATGAGAAGAGACGCATGAATTTTTTACTACATAAAGTATATTATAAAAAGAAACTTGTTAGAAAGAGTGCTTTATCCAAGCAAATAGAATTTGCATTTACTACAGAATATAATGTTAACTAGATTTATTCTTACAAAGAGAATAATATTTATAGAATTGTATAAAACGTATTTCGATAGCAGATTAAAAAAAAATCTATGCACACAGTTATGCATATTTATGTATACATAATATGATTATTACCAAAATTTGTATCCAACATTGCATATTCCAATATCGGAATCTACGCTAATGACTACAATGAAATGCAATCATTTTAATCACAGTTACTACTTCCATAAGAATTGCTTAGAGAAATGGAGGGCTTGCAGTCCATATTTGTATCATATTTGACTATGCGAAGATATTCCAAAGTTCTTACTAGAGTCCGTATATTTATGTGATCCATTAGCAATATTTATGATAAGTAAATTTTAAGTAGTAAAGATTTTTGTACAGTCACGGAATGCAATCAAATGTATCTCTGTTATATTTATGAAGTATTTTCCTTTTAGTAGAAATTATTGTGGGTATGTTAAACGATTCAGATATGTACAACGTTTTTTCTTTTTTATCTATTTATTGTTGCTATTGTATTTATTTATTTTTACCAATGTAATAC